CTATTACTTACTAAATTGTCCCACTTTATTTTAATTAAAAAGTAAGAGTGAATTATTGATATTTTTAAATCATCGCGTGTAAAGGACAAAATAAATAGTTATCTCTATTTCTAACAATGTTTATTAATACATATTTTAGAATTCTCTTTTACTAACCTTTGTTGGTTTCCATAATGAAAGAAAGAAGTATATATTTTCTGGAAAGAGCACCTGACGCAGAGGGATTTAAACACACTGGAAAAGATAAAACTTTATTTCTCCCTGTCGCGACAATACAAAGTCAACAAGTGCAATAACAATCCAACTGAAAACGGTACTGATCATTCTATCTAAATACATAGACAGAACGTGGTGCACATCATCATCATCATCATCATCATCACCACACCCAACAAGTGAGGTATCAACCACTACAAAGCTTCTGTGTACAGGTGGGTATTCAACTGTAAGGCAACTGTCACCAACCTGGAGAGACTGAAACACACGTGTGCTCTCTTCTTCCCATACATCTTTTTTTTATACATGTTGTTTTATCGTTTATTTGGGAAGCAGTTTGAGCTGATATGATTTACAGACAGTACCACATCATCACAAACCAGGCCAGAGTTTTTAAACAAAACAGAAAACATCACAACTTTAACATTTTAGGAAATACGTGAAATCATCCATTTGTGGACCCTGCTACTGCTTGTCAGAGGCTAATTGAAATTGTTTTTCTTCCCTGCGTGTGACTATAACGTTATTGATGGTAAGAAAAGACCTTCTTTGCCTTTATTGTAGGTCAGAAAATGGAGCATAAACCCTGAAAACCATTTCATACTCTATACATGTTACATTTCCCCCACTCATCCAGCATTATCCTCTTCTTGCTACTCCCCGTTCGCCTCTTCTGTTCACGCTCTGGGAATAAGAAGGCAGCTACAGAGAGCAAGAGAGCTTAATATATAACTGCTAATCCCTGGGCCAATTATTTCACATGGACACATCCTATTTCTTTGCCCCTGAAAGCACAAGTCTGCTGGGGCGCACACGTAATTACACTTTAGCCATTTGAATGTGAATGAACTTGCTTTAACAACTCGGCAAATGTGAATATTATTGCTGATAACTGGGGATGAGGCCTACAGCACATGAGTTCTGTTCAGAGGGGTCATGAAACATAAAAAGGACCATTAGGCGCTTTCACACCGGAGTACTTTTCCCTTTTAGTTCCGATAGTTCCTGGGATTTTGCGTTCACACCAAAAAGAGAACTTAGTTCATGATAACTTTTCACAGGAACTATCGGAACTAAAAGGGAAAAGTACTCCGGTGTGAAAGCGCCTNTGAACACTTTATGATGTCATAACGATGTGTTGGCTTGTGTAACCTTTAGCCAATCAGAAAGCAAGGTTGGAAGATTGGAAGAAGCCTTCAGAGTAAATCGCCAGAGCGCCGACACCTCCTCATCTCCACCGCTCCCACGTTTTTATTTTGTGTTGCCATAAGTTAGTCTCTCTGCGTTTCTGCGCTGGGCTAATGCTAATGCTAATAATGCTAATGCTAGGATAATAAAACAACGGCTTCACAACACTTTTTTTGAGTTTTACAGGCCGTGGTTTGCAATCCGCCTAGCCAATCAGAAATAGGAGCCTTTTTCTCCCACGAAAGTACCTGCTCGCTAGCATTTTGAACTCATTTTAGTTCCGGCATTTTAATTTCGGAACTATATCGGAACTAAAGTGGGAAAAGTACTGCGGTGTGAACGCGGCTATTGGTCATGTGCGCGTTCGTGTATGTTGGAGGAGGGGCTCTGTAAGGAAGTCTGAAGGAAGGGGTAGATTTCTTTCGGCTGCGTATTTTCAAATGATAGCGCACTCGAGCTGGTTTCTCCATTCTTACCTACCCTACCTTTAACTTAGAAACATTCATTGCCGAAATATAAAGTGTACTTGGCAGGAAAAGCGCTAAACCTCAAGGTGCTGTGTAAATGAGGCCATGCTGCATAAAACTGTGAAGAGAGCACATTATAACCCCAAAAGATAGAAAAGAAAGAACCCAGCCAACACATATCTCTCAGATAACATGCATTATGCACAAGGGAAAAGATGCCAACTCCAGTTAAAATGTGACAAAATAGGGCAAGAGGAAGGATGGAGGGGAAACATCGGCACAAAAGCTAACAGGAGGAGAATTAGCATCAAAGTAAGAAAGGGAATGCTGATAATGACGAGCCAATCAAAAGAAAAGTAACGCATGTTTTAACTTTACCATAAAAATGCATTGAACAGCCAACAGAGACGGGTGTTATACCTGGATTTCCACCCTTGCCACACCACAGAAAAATAAGTTTGACTATATCTTCTCTGGAATAGAGAAAATCCCTGCCATTGCAATGAATACTGTAAATTAGAAACCACAATGATTTAATACAATAACGTGACCGTACATCCAACTTCTAACTAAGAAGGGGATTTATTTAAGATTCATTAATTATTTGAATCAAATCACTATTCAATTGTAATTTCTTCTGTTTTGTTGATGAATTCGCCTAAAAAACCATAACGTAAATATTTAAATATGTGAAAAATAGTCAGAAAGTTACATTATCAAGTTTGGTTTGACCGACATTAATAACAACTTTCAATTGGCAATAATATAAAAGAAAGAATAAAAGCATATCACAATAGAGAAGCTAGAATCAGCAGGATTTTTGATTTGTTGATTGATTGATTGAACACTCTTTTGTCCTATTGGTAAGCTGATGGCATGCAGTGTGTTTTAGAAGAAAAACATTTCTCAGTGTGAGTGAAGTCGTAATAAACTTCATGTGTAGGCAGCGACTAGTGTTCAGATGTTGAGGGGTTTTATCCGAGTGGTGGAGAGCGAGCCACAGCCAAGCCACGTTGTTAACTATATCCTAAATATTAAGAGGTGTTAATGAAATTAAGCAGTTGCATTTTTTTACAACTGTATGGTTTCCAGCAGCTGTCGTTCATTTGAGAAGCCAGAGACTTTCCTTGAACTCTTTTCTTTTTAAAGCTTTACGTTTTGCGTCATTAGAGGACTTTATGGTCCACTTTCCATATTGAGGACGTCTGTTTCCTTAATGCCAGTGCTTATACCGACCAACTGCTCACCCCTCCTTCAGATGCAAGGAGTTATAGGGTATAAATAACACAGGTTGATTGCAGTACACCAATCAAAGGGTCAAATAAAGGGTTTTCTCCCAATAAAAAAACACCTTTAACTTTTAATCCGACTGTGTCCTTCAGCCCTCTTCATTTCACCCCCACTAATGCTCCTGGTTGTCAATGGGAAGATGGCTGGCCACACCGAGCTCATTAATCTAAAAGAGCTCTCTCCTTTCAAATGCTGATCGCTCACTGTCTGAGATTGCTGAAAGACTTCTATCACCCGGCAGCAGGAGTGGACCTTGAATTAAATCACAGCGACAACACTTCTACTGCCAGATTTTAGGCGGCCCTGATGAAAGGAAACACGGACGATGAAGACAGGTTACAGAAAAACTAATCTGGATGCACTTCTGATTTTATTTGTGTTTAGACTGAGAATGATCAAGCAGAAATAAATCAAAGAGGTTTATGTATTATCGAATCAGCAGATGACACACAGAAATGGAGCCAGATTGATCAGCATGGCTGATATCACCGCAGGACTTGAGCTTTCGCACCTGGAAATTGAATCAGGGTTTCACATTTCTTGCAGCTAAGAAATTAAAAAATATATATTTGCAGTTATTTAGTAGCAATGTAACCATTACACAGTCAGGTCGAGTTTATTTTAACTTTAAAAGGGGACCTATCATACAAAATGCACTTTTTGATGTCTTTTATACATAAATGTGTGCCCGGTGCGTCAGGGAACTCACGCAGTGTCAGAAAATAAAACCCTTTCTCTTTTCCTCCGTACCCAAAAACAACGAGCGGATACAGATTTGCTGCCGATATGACGTAATTTCGGATGGTGGACCCACAGAGAGTTGCTATCAAAAACAATGCCTGACGTGTTTTGGACGTAATCTCATCTTTGTTTACATTAGCAAGCCTCGCTAACACTCAGAGCTAACCTGTACTGTGTAGAGCACATGTGTTTAAAAAGCAGGAAATAAAAAAAGGAACTCACCTTGTGATAAACCCGAGAGAGAAAAAGCCTTTGAGCTCCATACTGTTTCAGCTATAATCCTTGATGTGGTTTAGAACAGGATGGCGTTTTATCACAGCAGAATTTAACTTGATCTCCGGNGGGACTTCCGGCCGGGGACTTCGGGTGGCAGTATACGGCGTGAAGTTGTTTGCGGCCTGCCAGTAAACCCAAAGCAGAAGAAGAAGAAGTGACGTCAGCGGCTTCATTTGCCTAATCCACCCCCAGGGACTTATTTCGGTGTGAACTCGATCTGTTCTTAGTTAATCAGAACTAAAGAGTTCTGATGAACTAAGTTCTCATGAACCTTTGTGGGAAAAGTACTGCAGTGTGAAAGCGCCTAATAAGGGCACGAGATAAGTTTGTGCACAGAATGGAAGGCTGACAGGCAGGTAGGCCATCAGCCCGGATAAAATAACTGGTTGTGCTTTTTACAGCGCTACAGCTTCCACAGATTAAATATTTGTATGTATTTATTGTCAAAGCATGTAATGTATTCATTGCTATCGGGATGTTAAGAGCATTCCATGGAATATAACAAAAAGTGTTTCTGAAGTGAATGACCTACCCTACCTTTAAGTGTCTTTGACTTAACTTCAGACCATCAGCTGTCAACTTCTATCTCCTACTAAAACTGTTTATTTTAGGGTTGTTTTCTGTATTTAGTTCATGGCCATGCTGGCTCACTCTGTAAAGGACTGTGACGAGCATCCAACGTTTATAGAAGCTGCTTCGAGCATGCCTATATAATCTAAGAACACTCTGAACATCTTATACGAGTGTCTGGAGGCCCATGTAATAAAAGAAATATGAGCTTTTGAAGGGCAGACAGATAAGCACACAGAAAACTTTACAGACCTGCAGTGGACAGCAGGAGGAAGATGACCGTCAGGACATTGAAGGACTGCCGGCTGGTGATAGTCATCTTCTCGTCCTCATGTGTGAAGAAGGGAGGGAGCAGAGGGGATGGATGGGGGGGCGGCTCTGCTTTAGCTGGGCGTGGGCATCCTTTGCTTGTCGACAGCTCCTCTCACATGGCTGCTGCTGCTGCTGGGAGTCAGGACTCCTGATGGGAACAAGACAAGCAGACAGAGGAAAGATGAAGAGATTTGATTCAGACTTCTGGAAGTTCCTCCCCACTGTGTGGACAGCTTGTCTGGCAGGGGGTTCCCATCATGCCGTCCGAAATCTGTCCTCAGGTTTACAGAATATGATGGCTTGGGCATTCATTTAAATTCAAAGTGGCACTCCGGCCAAAATCCCTATAGTGACATAGTAATATTTTCTTTTCTGTTTTTGACAGAAGGAATGTTTGCACTCTATGTTGGCATTTTAGATTTGGAAACGCATGTTGTAGATTTACAGTATTGTACTTATTGCTCATGTTGTTATTCAAACAACCAATAACAACAATAATGGTTAGTTTGATTGACAAGTCCATTACATTTGAGTATGTTATTTGGCATTTATAATTAGGTAGTAAGCATGCAAATCACCTTAATAGAGGATTCACTTTTCAATGATAAATCAATTATTAAATCATATTTACTTGTATTATTTTTTATTACGGATTACAAACCCATAAAAAGCATTACGGTTGGTTGCATCAGTAATTCTGCCTTTCTTCAAACTTTCCTGGAAGAACAAATAATGCTTACTGATGCATTTCAGCATTCCAAAAATATTGAATAGAGAACTAAGAGTATAAGGAATATATTTCTCTTATTAATATTTAACTTTTATCTAGCTTTTTGATCAGTTGAGAACTAAGATTTAAAAAAAAAAAGAATGATCTAATAGCCTGCAGATATTTTATTACATAACTACTTGGCAGTAAATACAATGCCATAAAAAGATGTCTTTCTCAGATAAATGTTTTTATAAACCAAATATGTAATTATGAATAACAGAACTTGCGCCCTCAGCACAGTTCAGAGTTTTGATAGCAGAACTGGTGAAGAGCAGTTTGCCTGTAAATGATGCATCCTGGGAGTTTGTGAACTCATCTATCACTGTACAGTTAGATTTAAAGCTGTGTCACTGATATCCCTTCACTGTTGCTCAAATAGATTAATGGGGTGGCGTAACGTTGTGCTTAGCCACGCTTGTTCCTGTTCTTTGGTAATTATTCCTTTAATAGTACTGGAGGAAATTGCATGTAAACAGTCCCTGCCCATGCATAAGTTAAGGGTGAAATCGATCGTAATATTACAAACTCCGTCAATGAACCATTTGAATTTAGCAGTGGCTTTACTTTAGTAAATTTGAGCATCACCTTGTTGTTGAAGGTGACTTTGAAGCTCTTATCAGTGGCCCCACATGTGACAGAGGAACCCAGCAAGAGCCGAAAACAGGGACGATAATGGATGGTTTGTTTACATTTGAGGGTGGTTAAAATGCAAGACACCAAAGCTATCTGCACAAGCTTTATGCCAGGTCGTTCTGAAAAGGGTTGGAAAAAAGCGTATTTGCTCCTTAAAGCCACAAAATCTCCAATATTCATGACATGTATTCAATTTCACTTTAAGTACCAGAATCAGCCTGTGCAAATGACCTCAAGACCCCTGAGGGCTTTGGCTTTGGCTTTAAGTTTGTGCAAAGAAAGTGAAACCTTCTCTCTGCAGAAGCTGCATGCAATGTGTAACAAAACTCGAGTCCTGAATTATTGACGAGCCGACAGCAGCTGACAGCAGAAAGAAAACCACATATAAGGAGCAACAACGAGAAGTGTAGAAGAGCTGGCAGATCACATCCGGTGTGATGTTACATAACCACCGTATCCGGTTTGTGTTTTTCTCATTGCAAGTTGTTTTGTTGAAGAAAGTGCAGAGTATGGTACACAGAAATGTGAGTGGCAAGTTTTGTTTTGAGACGCCACTTTGATTCACTTGAACCGATGATCGTCAATCAGCATGTCCGAATCCCAAAGTGATATATCATTTTATAGAGACGCTACCTTTTTGAAGCTGGGATGATGATGATGATGATGTGGTTGGTATAATCAAGAGGAGATGATGAAGGGGAATAAGTTAGTAGTACAACAAGTGATAGAGAGGTTGCACACAGGTGAGCATATTACCATAGAGCTGCAATGATAAATATTTACCATCAATATATATACTATATAATATATAGTATAGCAAGTATACATATTGGCAGCATAGTATAGTATATATACTATACTATGCTGCCAGTACAGAAAGCGGGCTGTCAAGAAGAAGAAGCACTTAAGAATTTTCACAGCTTTCACATCACTGCACACCTGGGTAATCCATGCAGAACGCGGGCATAGCTGACTTCAGATTTAGAGAAGGTTGGGTGATGCACACCTCTAAAACTCTATGTGCGTAAATAATTTTTTGTTCATAAAAAGACGATTAATCTGAAAAGGGCCTCATATACTGATCTGTGTACTTGAAGCCTTAGGATTCACCCCAAGTCACCAAACAGCCTTATAAAGATCTTGAAACATCACATGATCAAATGTGATGGCGCTTAGATCTACTTGGGTATTACACATATACACATATTAACTTGGAGCAAAACAATGGGATCCGACCTGACCCGATTGAACTGAATCTAGATGAGACCCTATTCCTATAACCAGGGGGTTTCCCCTGAGAGAATACTGTATGTGTTCCCTCAGGGGCAGATGAAGACCCTAGCTGGTTAGAAACATGGTGTGTAGCCGCATGAATGTGAAATCAAGCATTACTTAAATATGTGGCTGTTTAATTGTGCCTTCCTGGATAAACAAATGTATTGTGGGAAAGTAAAGTTGTGGAAACACCTTGGAGATTCCCTTTGCCTGTCAGCTGCTGTGTAAGTTACTGTTGTTCTACGTGTTCGAGCTCCCTCGTGTTGCCCTGCTTTCTTACGTAATCCAAACAGCACGGGCTGATGGTTGCACACGATCAAAGCAACACACAAAGCTGTACTGTATGGACAGAATACGTATGTGGAGCACAGCAGGCTGCCTCTGTTGGAGTCTTTTAAAGCGTTTTGATCGGACAAGCTGTTCCCTCTTCAGGAAGCCAGGCAGCTGGGATCCCAGGAGACTTGTTAAAGTAGCATTTTTGTTATGTTTTCCTCTCTTTTTACTTCTGGTGAGAGTTTGAGTGTAGTCTACTGTCAGTTGACAACATGTGCAGTTCGACGAGGGATTCCCATCTTCTCAAGACTTCTGTTTCTTTCTGCAGCTGTTGTCTTTTGCAACACATTATTTGGTCACACAGTCGCACCATTGTGACGTTACTGCCTGTGCTGTACTGTCTGCATGCACAAGGGCAAGGTTCACTTCATCACAGCTCTGCATTTGTTTGCAAAGAAGAAGTGGATGAAGGGTTTGTGTAATGAGCCTGATGGTAGTGAAGCAGAACATGTAAATACACAACATTGTACACAGTGCATCGCTCCCTGGGACTGAAATGTACTGCGCCGCTGAACAGGCATGCAACACAGATGGAGCTACTTGCTACCAACTAAAATATACATAAAGACCATGACAACTCGGCGTTAGCCACTCTCAGAGTAAATATAAAGGCTGTTACAGCATGAGAGGAAAAATGTAAACAATGAACACATTCCTAGCAAACCGAAAGCACACAGAGCTTGTGTACATGTAACTCAATTGTTGCCTGAGATAAGAAGGAAATATTAAGTGACCAATTACTACAGCTACCACTTTGAATCTACCAGCATTTTTTATCATGAGCACGCCGCAGAAGACCACAATCTGTCAGATGTTTGATGAGGCAACGTGCACGGGAAGATTTGTGATTATTCTCAGATTACACAGTGATATGCGACGCCTCCTCATCTCATGAACATCGTTGTCCGAGTTTATCTTTGTTCAAACATTAACTTTAAAGTGACTAAAATGTTATTTTGCTTTCTTGACATCATTATTTATTTATTCTGGCCGGCTAAGTCTTTCATTTAAGAAGCTTTCAAGTTTTTAAAGGCAGGATCTCAACATAAGAATTCTCCCTCCTGCTACAACCTAACTTTATTTTTAGCTTAGGCCTGTCATTTTGAGTATTAACATAACCTTTAATCTGCTGTGTGGATGATAGTTGTTGGATATTTATGCACTCGCTCTGCCTCATTATTAGGTTTGTGTTTTCCTCAGAGCACACAAATACACTCTCTGTTGCTACGCTGGGTCTTAATCCGTGTTAATGTGTGTTATCAATCACCCTAAACACACACACGTTTGTGAGCATCGGGACTGAGGTGCAGTTTAGAGATGTGACTCCCACATCACTCGGGAAATGTGTGTGTGTCTGGTTGCATCTCATATCTGCTTCTGCTGATGGGCTCGCGTCCAAACAGCGATCAGTATTCTGCTGCCACGAGCCCCGTGCCTAATTGATGCTCCCTTTGACTCACATCATAATAAATTGGGTTTCATTCACTTCTGATGAAATTAGGGCTCCACTCAGCAGCCCAATGGAGCTCCATTAGGGTACGAGCCCATGTTGGGAGATTCAGAGCTATGATCTAATGATCACCATTGGGACAGAGTTGAATTGTGTGCAGCGATATTGTCAATGAGTGGCAGCCTGAGGCCTGAAGTGGATGGTTGTAGTGTCCGAGGTTTGTGTTGAGTTTCTCACAAGACCAAGTCATGTTAAGTTGTGCATGGCTGTAAACCAGGGTCTCACCGTAAGAAGGTGCACCTCCAATAAAAAAAATTGTAACATAAAACAATGATGAGATATGAAATATTATACTATTGGGTCCTTTTCAATCATTTTCTTTATACCTTTCCTCTCCAGCACAACTGGTTTCATGAAAAGTATTATGGTAAGCACTGCTGAAAAGAAGGATTCAAACTGATGGTGAGCTCAAACAACTTTTTTCTCCCTATAACGTTATGATACTTAAACTCAGGGAACCTTCCTGATACCAAAGCTCTCATCTCACAAGTGTCAAAACGTGTTATACTTCAATACGTGGAGCTCATTGAGATATTTTGCTATAAAAAGGCAAACGAAGCCAGAGGTGGTTGTGACTGAAACACCAGCTTTTTTATAACGATACTGAAAAAGAAAGTATAT